GTTTGACTTGGTTTTTGTTGGGGGGTGTGTGTTTTTTTCCCAAATTAAAACGGTTAAAAAAAAAAAAAAAAGGAAACTGGAAGAAAAAGAAAAGGAAAAAAAAAAGGAAAAGAAAGGGAGGAGGCAAAGCGTTAGCGCTATGATGTCATCAGGGTCAGGATGAACTCAAAGAGAAACAGAACTGAAAAATGTAGCCATTGGTGTTAGCGAGTCGGACCTGGTTAGCGCAGGCTGGGAGCACCAGCCGCCATGGTGCGGGGGCAGCGAGCCGTGGGGACCGGCCGCGCTCTGCGGCGGGCGCTGAGAACGATTCCTCCCCAATTGCTTTCGTGCCAATGAGTGTGACCTTTCCGACGGGGGACGGAGTGACCAGGTCTGGCTCTGCTACCGCACGGGGGTAACCAAAATGTATCCCGCTGGTGCGTAGAGCATGCTCGGGGATACATTTGCTCCTCCTTCTCAGTTCTCTCTTTTGCGGACATGCACAAACGGAAAGGAAAGCAAGATGAATGGAATGAAATGTCTTTTTCTTCCATGGCATCTCAGGAAATAGCCATGGCAAAACTGTGATCCCAAAAACCATTATTTTTGTTTGTTTGTTTTAACAAATAAATCTTTCCACTTGCCTACCTTCTAGCAATGTACCAGATACTAGTGCTCTGACGTTTCCTCCTGTGGAAAAGTCTTACAATGTCAAACGGCTCTTTACCATGAGGCTGTTCACCCCCACAGGGCAGCATGCTTTGCTCACAGTCCCACAGACTCTGCCCAAGGACCCAGTGCAGTATTTTCTAGAAGGTTGGCAAGTGAAAAATGGCAGTGCGACTAGTGTGCTCTGTCCCAGCAGCCTTAACCCCCTTGGTGCTGCTGCTTTTTGGAAGCAAAGGAAAAAAAGAAAAAAAATAGAAAAAAAAATAGAGAAATGGCTTTTCCGAGACTCTTATCAGTGAACTGAACCCAGCGAGCTCTCAGGATACAGCAGCCCAGCCTCGTGCTTCCCCTCGCTGCTCTCGGGCAGGTCGCTTCCACCCGGGCAGCCCACCCGCACGCCCCAGCCAGCGCTGCCCCGCAGGGCCACTGCTCTGGGCTCATTTTGGGGTCCCCAAGCCTCATTCTCTCTCTTTCATTCACTGGCTCTGCTGCGAACAGCAGTCTCCTTTAGTCGCCTAAAGGATCTCTTGCTCTTTGAACGCTGGTTTGCTTCCCCGAGGAAGAAAAGCAGCCCAGGCAATTCAGAGAGAGCCTCCAGCTGCCCTAAACTGGGGTTCTGGGGCACCGTGGGGCTCAGCCCCAAAAGCAGCGGGGTAAGGGAAATGTGAGGCTAGTGGCCCACGGACATGCCCATGGCTCGGTGTCACTGCCAGGCACCACTGACCCTCCCGGGTTCCCCTGCCTGAGCGGCACAAAGGTGTTTCAGGGGTGGGAGAGGCCGGGGAGAGCAATGGCCCCAGAGAAGGGGCCCGGGGGAGCCTTGGCGCTGACAGGCACCGGCATTGCTGGCTCCCGTGTGGGGAGATGTCCTTGTCTCCAAATGACAAGAGCACGCACCACCTCTTTTTGGAGTCGGTCCTGGGTATGACAAGGGCTACCGCACCCCCGGAGAGCGGGCAGGGAGGGAGAGGCGATGGAAACCATCCCTGGAGCATTTCTCCACCTGAGCACTGGGCAGGGATGCTCAGCGGCAGCAGATTAACCCTCCCGTCTGCTGGTGAGCATGGCCGGAGCCAGGCAGCAGGGCAGAGTGCCTGCAAAGGGAGCTGCGCTGGCATTGTTTGCTCAGCCAGGGCAAGATGTGGCTCCGGCATGTGGTCCCCAGCAGAACAAAGTCCCCATCCCGAGCACCGTTGGGGCATTTGGGCCAGATCTCTGTTCCAGAGCTGTGCACGACACCTCCTGGGAGAGATGGCATTGGCCAAAGGTAGCTCCCGGGGACAAGGCAGGGACCCTACAGCTTGCTAGCCACCCGGTAACGCCCAGCTGGAGTTACTGGGGTGTGGGGTGGGGGACAGAGGGCCCCATACTAATCCACAGCTCTGCATTCACTGATCTGGTGAAGGAATGGAAAACGCACCTGTTGGAGATTTGCTCTAAAAACGGTTTGTCCTACCTGCAGGTTTTTCCTCCACACATTAACGGCCGCAAACGCCAGCTGCATCTGCTTCCTCCGCGCGTCCTTATGCCTTTTGTAAGCTATTTCTATGAATATTAAAAATATCCCGGCAACAATACCTCCAGCCACCAGCATAAACACACCTGAAATAAGCAGGAAAGTTACAGGGGGCAATGGAAATTGCACCATGACACTTCATTTCCTCTGTATCACGCTCAGCAACAGGAGCATCTGACAACCCGGGGTCCTCCCGGCCCCCCGCCATCCCCCCGCACTCCTGGAGGGGCCGGGGAAGGGAACCCAGCAGAGCAGGGCAGGCGCTGCAGGTTGGGCACCCGCGGTGATGGACAGAAAGGTGACGGGGTGCTGGATGTCTGTGCAAGCTCCTGTTGGTCGGGCACAGGGCACCGGCTGTGCTGCAGTGATGCTGGGGGCAGGCATGGCACACTGGGTGCTGCACGGAGAACCAGGGCAGACCCTGTCCCCTGGGGCCGTAGGGTTGTTTGCACCAGAAACTCAGCTCTGGTGCTCCCATTTGGCCCATTGAGAAGGAAAGCTGTACACAGAGCTCTCTGTGCTGTCCTTGGTTGGCTGCAACCCTCAGGGCTGACATTTAGGGAGTGGTGTCTTGAGGAGACGGAGCCATGTGCCCCCTCTCTCTGTGCTTCTGCCCTGGCCCACGGTGCCAGCGAGGATGAGGTCCCATCAGACACCCTTCATCCCATATGTCATGTTGGTTGGGTGAAGGAGAGGCAGCACCACATCGCTGCAAAGGGAGAGCCCATCTGGGGGAAATGTGCAGTCTTTGCAAAGGGGGACCAAGAAAAAACCCTTCTGTATCAATCATCCTCCTCCTGCCCCCTGCCCGCTGCCCAGAGCCAGCCGGGACACACTTCTTGGGGCTGGGGGGTTGCCCCTCACCACCAGCTCCCTCCTGCAGCAGGGTCCTTGCTCGCCTCCGCGGCTGCTCTTGCCTCCCCCGAGGTGCTACTCCCCTCTCTCTGCCTTGGCGACAGCTCTGATTTCACCGTGACAGCCGCAGTTTGGCCAGAGCAGAGGGAGGGGAGCAATGTTCAAAGCAGGACAGCCCCACCGATGAGAAAGCCACCCCAGGGAAGGTGGGGAAAGCTTCGCGGAGCTGTTTCGGACAAGGTGGGATTGGAGCCCAACACAGCAGCCTCCCAGCGCTAGGAAAGCACAAACCCAGAAGAAGCAGAGCTTTGGACCGAGAGGAGAGCCCCGGAGAGGAGAATGTCTTGAGCGAAAGCAGGCTACCCAGCGAAGAGGAAGAAAGAGGTTTGCAGAACAAACCTGCCATATTTTCAAAGGTGAGTGTTGCTGGGGCATTGCTACGGGAATCACACTCCTGATACCTCACCCAAGTCTTGTCCAAATCCTCCATGAAGCCGTTCTCGTGGGACCTGAAAGCACAAGGAGACAGGACAGAGTAGTCACTGGGGACCAACCACAGGCAGCTGGGGCACATGCTCTTTGTGCCTTCGTGCCCTTCATCCTAGGACTCTACACTTGTCTGCGGCCTACAAACACAAGGACCGATGATGCGTGTGCACGCACACTTATGTGCACATGCCTGGCTGACTGCATGTGTGTGCACAAGCATGTGCTTGCATGGCTTTTGTGTAGAGAGTGTCTGCAGCGGGTGTCCATACTGCATGTGTTTGCATGCCGCCCTGCACGCAGCCAGTGCTGCAACAAGCCACGTGCACGGTGCAGCAGGTGCGAGGTGCCACTGCCCCATGCCTGAGAGCCGGGAGCTGGCCGGCTGCTGCCAAAAAGAGCCCTGTGTAAGCTCGGTTCCCAAGGGGAGGGATGGGGCTGATGGGTGTAGGCAGCACTCGGTGTGCTCGGAGGGAGGCTGCAGGGAGCTGGCATGAACCAAGCCAGTGCTGCAACAAGCCACGTGCACGGTGCAGCAGGTGCGAGGTGCCACTGCCCCATGCCTGAGAGCCGGGAGCTGGCCGGCTGCTGCCAAAAAGAGCCCTGTGTAAGCTCGGTTCCCAAGGGGAGGGATGGGGCTGATGGGTGTAGGCAGCACTCGGTGTGCTCGGAGGGAGGCTGCAGGGAGCTGGCATGAACCACATCCTACATCCCCGGTCCCCCCACCTGCCACGGCCGCTCAGGAGCTCAGGCAATGCTGGACACCCTCCAATCCTGCCTGGTGATCACCAGCACCCTCTAGATCAGCGCAGGGGTATAACTGCCGCCTTGCAGCTCCCTGCTGTGCACGGCGATGGCTGGGACTCACCAACAACCCGGTGTCACAGCCTGGGGGG